TCTTTTCCAACCTTAATGATTCAATGAAAATGGAGCTTCTGACCTTAATTTTCCTTAGAGACAGACTTCTTTTCTGGCCAAGCAGAGGAAACAAAATATAATAAATATATTTCCTGTGACACGGGTTCCTGCTTTTCCTCAAGAAGGATGTAAGTAAACCCTACTCAAACACAGCATTATCCCAGCACCGAGCCGAAGAGAACTGGGACACCGCTCTTGACGTCGTATTCATCCGGTTCCTCTTCCCCTCTCAGAGGCTGCTGAAAAGCCCTGATGAGCCATTGCTTCGTCTAACCCCTTTGTCCCATTCTGTTCAAACACCAACACTGCATTCCCCAGCTCTCACCCTTCAAATGCTTCATGCCGCAGCTGGAATTAATAAAAAAAAATTATTTCAACAGTACTTGTAGTATGAATAGTGGATATTTGAACTGCAGCCTACCTAAAGCTACAGGAAACTCTTCTCTCTTTGGATTTTCAAAGCGGTCTTTAAAGTGCCATTAAAGACCCTTCAAGTGGATGAAAATACCGCTCCTTCTTTCCACGGAGAGCGCCAACATTCCCCACTCCAGCCACCCAGCCCCTCCTCCAGCTGCTGCGTTTTTCCATCATCTCTCATTAGTCTCATTATGTCAGCAGACCACTGCTAAGTTTATATTTAGCACCTTAAGTAGCCTATGAAACAGGAGCGTCAAACGATTTAAAAGGCAGATTTCACGTGCACAGCCAGCAATTGAAACCCATGCAGAGGTCAGCCTGGGACTAGAAACGGGCTAAGGAAAACCGCAATGACTTTGTAAAGAAAAATTATTCTGTATCGGTGATTAGGTGGAGGAAAGGATTTGGCTGGTAATGAAACTGAAAGCACAGAGATCTGCTCCTCTCTTTGAGCAGCACGTGCTACTGCAGCTCGTCCTGACCCTAGGGACACAGACAAAGCGCTATCACAGGACATCACTGATGCGGGTTGGGGGGGGGGGGATTTGATTAGACAATTATTCATCAGACCTCGCCCTGCGTGGAGCATTTTTCAAGACCTGTCATCTCTAGCTGACTAGACAATGCATCATGACTCTGAGAAGTGGAATGAAACCAGCAATCGAATTCACCTCTCTGGCAAAGCGTCACTGCCGAAGAGAGTGTTCCCAAAGTCACGAGGAGCACGAGAGCAAAGAAACAGCAGTGGAAACTAATGCTTAGTGTCAGCTCTTGCAAATGTCTGCTATCATACAAAATATTCAACAATTTACAATCCTATGATAAATCCACAAAGCAAGAAGCTTTAAAATACTGGTTGCAGAAAGGCAAATCCTTTCAAAACATGCAAGTCACAAATCCTGCCAGGGGGTTTTTCTGGAGCACTGAACTATTTCAGGACCAAAGCGGGATATTAGCTTCAAAGTAGTTTGTGGGGAGGGAAAAAAAAAAAAAAAAGGCAAACTAAACCAAAAAACCAACTCCCCACCCCACCCATGGCCACTCTAGATGGGGCTGATTTCCCACACACTGACTTTATATCGTCTAAGTCCACTAATTAGAATTCATTTTCACTAAGCTCACGTGAAGCAATTTAAAAAGTGTTGTTTATTCCCACTAATTTATTTTAATGCAACGGCAAACTCTCATCATGTGCTTGTTTCATGAAGAAAATAAAGTTGTGTATTTCAAAGAGAAGATTTTGAGCATCAGTGCCTTCGTCAGCTTTCTTACCCCAGTCCAACACCATGTTCCCTATGGACAGACCTCTTCAAACGCACACGGATTTGTGTCCTGATATTCCGTGTGGAGTCCATAGATGATGCTTTGTGTTCTCTCCACCCCATGTCTGCTATTTCCAGTTTTTACCATATGCAGTTCAAAGAAGAAACCTGACATGTGCAAAATAAGTCAATAGTGAGTCAAACAGCCCAGCGGGATGAGCGGCGGTCACCGTGACCCTTCTGCTCAAGCACTCCACAGCCGAGATGCCTGAGAATCCGCAGGCTCACTAACTGCTGAGATAACGGCCAGTGAACCCATTATATTCGCTTTTTTTTTTTCCTTTTAATCCCTCTTCTCTGGAAACATATTTAAAAAGGGCAAGTGAGCAGGAGAGATAATGTGGCAGTGCACTCCAGGCTTCTCGAGGGAAGCAGGAGCTCTGTAGAGCACAGGAAATTTTCAAATCTCTTTATAACAGCCAGCTTCCAAAATATTCCTTTCAAGAGGACAGGAAAAAAAAAAAAAAAAGACAAAAACATGGTAGCTCTTAGCTAGGTCTCCCATCAATGCCAGCAGTGGAAAAAAACATAATAAAGATGTAAGCATGGATAAAAGTTTTTCAGAATATTCTAACATTTTAGGCTTCTTGCAAGAGTCACACCTTCACTTTCAGTTACGTCACGTCAAAGCAAAATGATAATTCAGTTCAATAAATCCCAAGTTTTTTCTCTCGTCAGAACCAGAACTCTCTAGTTGCTCATATTGACGCTGAATTCCACGAGCAGTGTAACCGATGAGAGCTGAATCCCAACCGTCCTCCCCAATTTAACTCGGAGAAGGGTTCTGGATGAAAGGAGGGATTTTGGAAAGTTAATGGTCAGTTTACACTCCACCCGTGAGATGGGATACTCACCACCTGGGTTGACGATGAATGTCTTTAGGTCAAGAAGCCTACTAGATGATATGCAAGTCTTGTTAATACCGTTGGGAAGCAAAGTCAGCGAGCGCTCCGGGAAGCGGGGTGGAAGGAATAAAGGCAAGAGGAGGCACACCCACCAGCTCCGGTACCGGGACCAGTTACAGCCCCAAACACCCACTGTCAGAGAGGGATCCGATCCCGTCACTACAGAAACTGCAACGTGCAGCTGCTTAAACCATGAGTACGGAACAGAAAACACCACAATGGAGAAACAAAATCCAGCCGCAGCGCTGATGCAGGTATCAATCTACAGGATTTATGGGGACAGAGTAAAATTCTCACCAGAAGCAGATAAAGGGAGACTTCATCAACTTTTCTTTTGGTAAAAACGTGATGAGCTCCCGGCAATGGCACAGAGGTGGAAGTGAGGGAAATGCAGTCCCATTGCTACTGACACCTTTGATCTGCTCCCAGGAACCGCCAGACACCGTCGAAAGCACACCCGGTACGCTCCCTCCCTCGATTCACCGGCAATGGAAGAACAGAAACTAGAACTGAAGCGCCCGAGGAGGACACAGGAGGCGTCGCTCAGCTGAAGACACCCAACAAGCAAGCATCACAAAAACGTATAACACACCAAATAATCTTAATCACAATAATTTTTTAAAAATTACAAGCTGCAAGCATCTTTGTCTGGGCTTCTAATATAAGAAAAGGGAATTCCCCATGGAGTTAAAGGTGGGGAAAACTGAAAGTGTATTTTCACAGTGCACGTGAACAAACGATGAGCTCATTGTTTACAGGACCCTCTGAAGTAAACAGCTTCGCAAAACCGAAAAAGGAAACTCTAACTAAGGGTAGTTTTCATATCAGCATCAATGTAACGATACAAATACCTCACATAATGATATTAAACCACAGATTTCAAAGCCCAGAAGATTGTCAGATTAGGCTCAGGGACCCGTTAGATGCAGACAAGACACGTAAGGAAGATAGACCATCCTGTAATCACTACTCTGGAGTTCCTGCCCCTTGCTTTGAACCACGCCGTGCTTTCCAGCAGCGAGGACTGGATGCTGAATCCCACGGACTTCAGACTTTCTGCACCAGCAGGAGTGCCAACGTTCCAGCTCCCAAGAACGCGCGTGAGCCACTGCCGAGTTCACAGTGCCACGTGCCCACACCTCACCAGAAAAATGCAACCCAGTGATGTGTGAAATTATCTGAGTTCTACTGAACATGGCACCTTATAAAAAGTAAAATCTACAGGTGTGGAAATTACACGAAGGACTGTTCTTGGTGCTCACACCAAGGAAGGAACTGGGACAGTCTGCCCACCAGCAGACAACTCGTGCCACACATGAGTTCTTCTGTATTTTGTATAAAACAATTAAAACACTTTTCAGCACAAATGAAATGTCAAAGCCTACTTGAGAAGGAGCTATTTTTGCATTTAGATTGTTTTATTTTGATTAATTTTTCCACCTAAAAAAATGTCATTATGTTTTCCCTCAAGGTAGCAGACCCACTTTGCAAACCACAGAAACTCAGATTTCTAGACAAAGCTAAATAATAAATAATCTATCTGCTTGCGACTTATCACTACTTGTGTGTATTTATGCAAAGACAGAGGATAAGATATTCCTAAAATAAAGTGGAAATAAGTTTTCCAGTTATACTGAATGCAGAAAAAGCCAAGTGTTAGGGCAAAATCACCGTTTTATGTCCACTGCTTCTTAAAGAATGCAACAGTGTGACCCAACCATGACACTACATAAGCATGGAACAAGCTGGTACCAACAAATTGGTGCGTGGATTCTGAACAGAGTACCTGTGACAATCGTCCTCAAAGTGACGTATAAATCACGGCAATTATCAGTGCTTCTGGCAGAACACACCAGTTGCTACACTCATGAACAGTCAGAGAGTTCCTTTGCACGGCACAAGACCACACCAAAGACCGAACAAACTTTCTTTCCATAAGCTCTGCCCTACTAGCAGAGAAAACAAAGTTTTATCCCAGGATCCGCGACTCTCGTGCTGTTTTTGAGCCAGTCACCGTGGCTGTTCGTCTGAGTGGTGCTATCCACCTGAGCGACTGCGAGCGCAGCGAGAGCCTCTCTGCTCCATCTCTTGGGTTACTCCAGCGTGAGTCAGGAGAGAAAGTGAACGTTAAGAAACAAAACACAGAGTATTCCAAAGCGTGTAACTTGCCAGTTTGGGACTGTCGCATTGTAATACAGCCAAACCTGGCAGTTAGACATATACACGGATGATGATTCCATGATTCTATGATTATTTGGGTGCAATATGAATCTCTCAATGGAGGACAAACACCCTTGTCTTTGAAACAGAAATGAATGCATTTTTAGCATCTTTTCTAAACAAGCTCCAAGTAAAACATAAGGAGGTTACCTCCTGCTCCTGGGACAAGCAACATGATTTAGTCAACCAGTACAACCAGTTATTTCCTTCAATTTTATCTTCTCCCGTGATGCTATCTCCAGCTTAGTTGGAATCTTAGCTTTTTTATTACAATTTTTTACCCAGGCACCTGTCTCATATGTAATCCATACCACAGGTATATAACGTACATATACTGTTGAGATGGTTTACTTTTCTTGCAAAAAACCAACACAGAAGATACCATTGGAAATGTCAAAATTCTCCTACCTAATGTTTCCTTCTGCAGCTCGCGGCACTTGCTTTGTAGCTCGTTCCCTTGCTGAAGGGAAGTCTGAAGCTGTTGAGTTTTCAGCTCCACCGTGTCGGCCACCACCGTCAGATGTTTCACCTTTTCCTGGAGACATTCGTTCTCCCTCTGGGATTTTGCTAACCTTTGATTCAATTTGGGTATTTCTGAGGATGAAAAAAAAAATAAATCATATAGACTGTTGTCAAATTCACCTTCTTCACTACAAAGCATTACAGCCGATTTCTGGAAGCCTGGTTTGGGTATGGATTAATTAAATTATTTCTTTTGTGCAAGGATTTTCACTATCTACAATCTTTCACAACTACTCCACAGTTAATTTATTGTTAGACTAAGTGATGTAAATACTGAAAGACTGTAAATTCTTATACTTCTTTCTACTTGCCGTTAATTAACCAAGGCCAAACAATGTACATACACAGGGGCTTTTACAAGCTGTTTCCAAACTAACCAAGCAAGCTGGTCTAGGCACAAAGAGCAGCATCTCAAGTAACATTTTTCTTCTCAAAATCTGAATGGAAAACAAGTTTGGAAAATCTCGTTGCAAAAACAGTAAGGACAAACAAACAAACAGACTACTAGATATTAATATGTTACCATATGTTCCTAATGAACCACTCATAAAACAGAACATAAAAACTGAATGGCACTCACAGGCCAAAAATAATGATGTGTGGCGACATTGTTTGGATTCAGAAAGCTACACTTCAGGATATTCAGAGCGTGGCACTGTTCTCAGGGGACCTGTTGAATGCAGAGCAGGACACGCAGCGTGTTTCATGGTATGGATAACCGTTAAAAGAACCGGAGAGGCTGCACTTGGGCTTCCACACAGACCTTCTATAGATTTGCAGTATCACAAGTAAAACAAGGGATACTCCAGAAAAGAAGCCCCAATGTTCTGAAGCTCTGAACCAGCAGATGTCTGCAGAAACTCGTGCTCATAGTCCCTTTATGAGCTGGAAGTGGGCAGAGAATGAGCAGGGGAGGAGAGGAATCAGCAGGGACACACAGCACTCAGCCTAATGAGGAGATGAAGTCATGAATCAAAACGCGTGATCTTGACACTGACATTTAAATTAATTGTTCTCTACAAAAACTGAATACTAAGGAGTGATTTTCCGGTCACGCTCACTCCAGCAGGCACGAGCCCTCCTCCCTCCGGGCTCTCGGCTGCCCGGCCGGGACGCCCTGAACTCTCCGCTCAGCCCCCGGCGCAGTCTCAGCCGGATGCGTGCCTGCTCGCTCCTGCGGCACAGCTGCCCGCTTATTCCTTCCCAGGCTGAACAAAGCAATCATTGAAAGCATTAAAAATTACTTCTCATGTCCCAGGAAGCATGGGGAGCTGTTATTTCAAATGAAGCCACTATTTTCTGAGCTATTCCACACATGCAGGGCTCACTTCAGCTGTGAATTTGCACCGGAGCTCGCAGGGTTTCATCAGCAGAGGGATTTGGGAGATGTGCAAGGGAGATATTCCTTCCCATAGCGGAAGCACAACATCAGCTCACCTACTTCTTCACTGCCTTATAACCCTGATAAAACCAACCTCAGAGCAAAGAGCAGCTCACTGGCTCATACACACAGAGCACCCCGAAAAACTCCAAGGAAAGGAATAAATACATTAAAATTATGTCCAAAGGTGCAAGAGTCAGCACAGAGCCTGTTTGGATGCTCTGGATGTCACAGTCTGTAATTACACCACTGCACACTTTTTTCAGCAAAACAAATCTCCTAACGGAGGCACAGCACAACCGGTATTCAAGGATTAATCTGAGTTTTCAAGTCCGACCGCCAGCCTGAGGGCTGGGCACGACCTCCAGGAACAAGCCAGCAGTTGTGACTCTCTCCCAGACCCTCCTTTCCTGAAGGCTGCCCTTGTCAGGGCAGGAAGGCGGCTGCGGGCCAAGAGGGGAGGCAGAAGCACGGAGCCTCCAGCAGCTCCGCGGAAGGACATGACCCCACTGTCCCATAGCACCACGTGTGCGGAGCACCTGCGTGTTCGAGCACGTTGGAAAAACCAGCAACAGGAGACACAAAGCAAATTAAAGTATCTCCAAGTCTTTGTGCTGCAATTGTATCCATATAATTTATGTTTCAAACCATGGTCGGTATTTACACTACTCCCATTTGAGTCTGATTGACCAAACACTCAGTCCAGCAGGCCAATCCGACAGGAACCAGACTGAGTTCAGCTTGGTTCACGTGGCGCCACAGCAGTGGATAGGATCTTTGAATACTTTGGATCTGGACAAGTTAATGTCAGAATTAGAAATTATCTAATTAATGTTACCTTCTAATTTACCCTGTTACAATCAACTACAAAAAAAAATATTTTATCTTGCCCAATATTACTGCACGACGATTTACCTGTCAAAGCCTCTTTGCTAACGGTTTTTATTTGTAGAAAAATTTCTTCTTTCATGGCAGCCCAGTTCTCTAGGTTACTGGAGATCACTTCTTTAATGCTGTCTAGTTCACTTCTAACGAAAGGAAACAGCGAGACAGCCTTGTTCAGAGTCGAGCAGTGGTGTTCCAGGGTGTTTCTGCAAGACAGAAAAACAACACCAGGCACACACTTGTTAAATGACAAAATAAATACTGTTAGCAAACTTGGGAAGGGAAGTAAACTTGATAACTACTTCTGTCATACGATAATTTATACTCTAGTGGGTTGCAATAATTTAATATATGAAACGTGCTGTATATTGAACACTCTCCCTTCTACATGTTGATTTAGAACTTACATGTATAAATGAAGAAAACTGTACAGACAACTGCACAATCACTTTTTATAGAAAAATCAATCATGTTTAAATAAGTCCAGGCTTATGCTGACTCTTTATAAACAATTTATGTAAGAAACACTTCCCATGCATTCCGAGCAAGCCCTACACACTTGCTTTAAGTGTTCATTAATACTTTCAAATTTGTCAAGAACTTATCCTGTTGCTAATACCGCCAGCAGGCAGCAGTGATATTTTCTGGTTACACCTGCTAACACTACAGCAGCTCACTATATCTTACCTGAGCACTTGTGATTGTTTATAGGCAGCTTCCTTTTCCTCTTGGAAATACCGCAAATTTTCTTTCACATTTTTCAATTCATCTTGCTTGGTTTTAAGTTCCACTGTGAGGTTTTTTATTCTATAGATGTAAATAAAATAATCAGAAAGTATTATTTGCACTACTAACCAACCTCTAACTTTAAACTAAAAACCTGCTGAAAGTCTTTTCAGAGCTGATAACCACAGATTTCACACTGAGCCATCAGATCTCCAAATGGAGAGATTTCATCTTCTGGCCACTGCATGGACCACTTGAGCAACTCTTTCAAAAGCGGCCCCATGACACGACACAGGAGAACCGATGGGTGTTTTTCACCCCCATCGCCTGCTCGCAGGAGAGGAGGAAGGGGGGGCCCTGAGCACGACCCACCTTGGTGCTGGACTCCAGCCGCCCGGTTCAACGGGGCAGACGGCTGCCCTGCAGGGTTTCCTCTAACATCTACCTTCTGAAGGCGTTCATTAGAGCAGCAGTTCTGCTGTGTTTATTTTCCAAGCACAGCTATTGCAGTGTCAATAAATACATCTGAGCCGCTGCTCCTGCAGCACCTCGGGACTTATTCCCACAATTGTAGTGAAACGAACGGACCGCGCGGGAACAACAGACAGCTCAATCCAGCTCCCTTCCCGGGTTACACGTGCAGAAAGAACACCACCACGCACATCACAGGACTTTTTTCTTTTCTGTGAGCTGTAGGTAACCATTCTAATACATTCTTCTATCCCCAAAAGTACAACTACAGGGACATGCAACTGTTAGAAACCAGCCCCCTGTCCCTTCCACCACCCACCGCTAACCTACCGCAGGCAGAGTCCACGGTCTGTGTGTCTACTGGTGACTCACGGTCACAAGTAAATAAACAGTATTTGAATCGAAAATATTTTACAAAACCAAAGGATGGCAGAAGCACGACACCAGCCTTTGCTTCAATTTTAAAAAGCAAAAGAACTTCAAAATGATTTATAATGAAAGAAATGAAGCCATAATATTAATGTACATTAGTTACTCTTATCAGATAGGTCATCTACAACATATCTGCATCAAAATGCAAATTTTAAAAAAAATATTAGTCCTGGTAGAGAAACTTGGATCTGTAGAGCTCTGCCAAAACCAAAACTGAACATGGGGTAGTTAAAATGCAAATTGTTTGGGTTCAACTGGTTTCTATTCTTACTTTGCCCAGAACGGGCAGTATTTGAAGATCTTTTGGTTTAAAAAAAAGAAACTTGCAAATAAGTACAGACACATTGTCTTACTCTTTCCATTCCAGAGATCTGATACGATGAGAATTGCAGTGGAGAGCGCCCAGGGACATTATCAGCCTGTTCTGGCCATCCGCACACAAAGAGCAGGTGGAGAAGGCAAGACAGTTGCACTGTCTGCTGTCATCACCAGGAGGAGGAAGGAAACTAAACATGTTATTTTGGTGATATCTAGCACAAAGGAAGAAGTTCAATGGATCATTAAATGTTGGCATTAAGAGAGAATCATGAGAACACACTGATCTCAGCCTCTGTCCTACGGTTCCCGTGAACTGTGACAATTAACATCCTAGCCCTGCAGCCAGCACGCTTCCAGGGAATCCCGGAGGAAGGCTGCCCAGAGTGGGAGCTGAATTATAACGTGTTAACGACTAGCGCTGACAACCAAAAGAATAGCACGAGAAAATAAAGAAGTGGTTGCAAGGGACTCCTGCCAGCAAACAAATATACTCATTGTCCCCAAAGCAACGACAAGAGCAATTCCCACAGGTGTTCGAAGTCACGCCACGGTGTTTCACTGCAGCTCAGATCAGAAGAACCATCTCCATGGTACACAGCCCCTCCACCAGCCCCGGCGGGACCCATCCGAGCCCGAATGAGCACTTGCAGCCCTGGTCCCTGGAGTCAGCAGGGACAGTATGCACAGAGGAGGCTGGAATATCCCAGCAATTAAACAGTTTCACGAGTGTTTTCAGCTCCAGGAAACTCTAGGACCTGCGCAGAGCCAGCAGCTGCTGTGTTGACGGTTGGACTTGATGACCCTTGAGGTCTTTTCCAACCTTCATGATGCTATGATCTCAGTGAGACACTCTGTCCGAATATGGACTAAATGAAACTGTCTGAGGCTTTGTAGTTATGCCCAGAATAATTTTGCAGCTACTGATCAAGCTTGCAAATCTCACATTAAATTATAAAGTGGATGTAAACAGAGACAGAAAAAATTATCATATTAGAAACTTCTTGATGGGTCATTCTTGGCTTCTTGGTTTTGACCAGCAGTCACAAAACAGACAGTAACTCACTACACCCAAACAACTGGAAGTTTTAACTTGAGCTTATAGTGTGAACAAATAAACAGCCGCCCACTGAAGGAAAGGGAAAAAAGCTCTACACAAGTGCATCACTCCATTCTCTTGTATCTACCAGGCAATACAGGATATGAAACACAAATTCAATGCTCTGACAATTTCCTAACCATACAATAAAATAATCTCTAAGCATTACTTTACCCCCTCATATGCGGTTGTGCTGCCCACGAGGAGTTCAGCTGTACCATGAGCTGTTGATCCCTTTCCCCAGCAAAGGGGTGAACATGGCTTTTGCCGCTGTACGCGATGGGACATCCAGCAGGGACTCTGCCGGAACCCCACGAGGGTGTATAGGAGGAATCGGTCCCCGTAAGAGCCTTGTGAGCACAAACTGGAGAACCTCAAGAACTGCCACATATGAGATGAACGGCTTTTACTTTCCCGAGAAAAACCAGCAGCTCACGGAAGCACGCAGAGACTCATTCAGAACCTTTTCTGCAGCTTTCCTGTCTGGGAACACCTCTCCAGGCTGTTTCTGCATGATGTGGCACCCTTCTCAGATGCCAAAAGCTGTGAAAACTTTTAAAATGTAACTTTAAATTTTAATTTCACCTATTAAATATGAAAATATTTTTCATGCAATATACATGAAAAGCATGCACGGAAGCAAAAAATGCAGATTTCATGTTGCCTTCTGCATTTTCCAGGGACTGCTGGTTCAGCCTCTGCCAGAGAAGGAATTTTGTCTCACCAAGAGAAAGTTCATTTCATCAGGAATTTGGGAGAAGGTTGAGCATCACTGCAGAGCTTTGCACCTCATGAATCGCTCTTCTGAACTTGCCTCTGGCAACAAATTTATCTTGCTTATTAATAATCAATACTTAACGGCACTTATTTCCCCCAGGCACTGTGCTGATGGGCTTTCTGAGCCTGTGACAAGATTTTTCAGTGACTTTTCTGAAGTATAGAAGTGAAGTTCCCTCCTGTGAACACAGGACCTGGGACTGACAAACCCTGCGAGGGCTTTTGCTGGCTCTCTGCACAAGCTGGAGCCGTGCCCGAGCCATCGCGACGACACCATCAGGGCAAGACACCCAGATCCGTTTGCAAGGATCACAAAGAACAGCCCAAACCGCTCTGGCATCACACAGAATTCTGCTTTTTCCTGGTTAACAAGCACACCCTCATGTAGCTAATTAGAGAAGTACGTACTGTTATATTATTTACAAAACAGATTCAATAAAAAAAAGTCGAAGGCGCTGTTTCTCACCGAATGTCCTGCACTCTGGTGAGGACACTCACACGGACGCGACACTCCCAAGTACAGAGCAGCCATTGCGCGCTTCCAAACACTGCAACTTCAGCTGCCTACACGCAGAATTAAATGCATCAAGAGACAGAAAGATGCAAGCATTTCCTACATGCTCTGTATTCTCCCTGCAACGAAAACCACTCCGTTCTTTCCTTTCAGTGAGTGCAAAGCCCAGGACTCGCTGACTCTGAGCCCAGCTGCATCCTCGCGGCAGCTCATTGGGTTTGTTTGGCTCTCCCGAGCCGCCGCTGAGGCAGCACACACCTGAGACTTGCACAGAACATCTGCAGCGCGATGAAGAACGCTCATTTATTCCTTTATGAACCAATTTCCTCTTCCGAGATGATGCACCGATATCATTCTGAAAATGCACTCCGGTTCTGCAGCGGTTACAGTGCTCTGTTCACTTGACAAGCTTTCCGAAACGGCGCAAAGATGTGCGGTCTCCCAGGTTACCCACACCTGATGGTACAGAATGAAAATAACCGACTGCATGCCCTAAAGCACACACCGCAAAGGAGAGGTTCGTTCTTCACCTCTTGGTTTATTTCATCCAGATTTGGCTCTCAGCGATTTTTTACACCAACTCCATTTTGTCCCTAAATATTCAATGCAAACAGACACATTAAAAAACTCTATTAAAGTGACCCTTTTGCCTTGTGTTCTTTCCCTTCAAAACCTATTTTTAAAATGGTGACAGAGTTCTTACAGCATGTACCGCTCCCCGTTTGCAGTAATTTCAGTCTCCTAGGACAAGGAGCCACACGTGTCGGTTGGCAGCCACGGGCAGGGTGCTGTTATTGCTGCCCAGCCACTTCACTACTACAAGCTCAGGCTTTCCCAAGCCAGGTGGTTGCTGTCGCTTTCCTAAGCAATCATGTTGCAAAAAAAAGATTTATTTTAGGCAAATTCAACAACAAAGCATTTGCCATACTATTAAGTTTTGCCATTGTGGTGAGAACTAACAAAATCAAGAAAACACACACACACACAAAAAAGCACAAATAAGGAAAAATACAGCTTCCACAAGTTAAAATGCAAGGTTTAAATTATCTTTAAGAATTTATTATTTATGTATAAAATTTCCAACATCTGCATGCATGACTCAGGAACATAAGCCTCATGGTAGCCACCAACAAGTAACTCCTCCTGCTAGATTTGTAAAGAAGTTTTCAGAAATCTGTTCACAAGTGATTTTTGACATAGGACTTGCTAAGTGATATCTATACACCTCTTCCCGTGTCTAAGCATCATAAATTTTTTCTTACTCATGGTATTCAGCACCACTATACCTGTAAAAATCATCTTTAGCATTTGCATCTATTTTATATTGCTTATAGTGGATGTTGCAAGAATTACCAAGGTTCAGTCCACAAACACAGCGTGCACCTCCAGGCACCATCGGAGGAAACCCGTTAATAAACTGTCACGCAACTATCCTGGAATTAAAGCTGTTTTTAACCCAGAAAAAGAATGAGACTTGACTAGCCGAGCTGAACCAGGGCAGTTAACTGTGTGATGGTTACTTCCCCTTCTTCTGATAAAACCCCAAAGGCTGGGTCGCTGCTTTCTGCCAAAGCTCAGGTTCCCGGGTGGTTTCAGGGTTAACCACAGGGACAAACAAGAGCAACACCTTAACCTTAAAGGAATATAAAAAAGAAACGGGCTGCAACTACCAAGATTAAATCTCTTGGTCTACCAGAGATGAAAACAAAAGGCGTATTTGGCCTTTAAGGTCAACCTTGCAAGAAGAAGACGACAGTATGCTGAATAGTTAAATTACACCCAGAGCACAAGGTAACAAGAGAGACGCAGGAGAGCAAAGAGGAGATAAGGAATATTTAGACAGGTTACTTAACAAGGCACAATAGTTGATTTATGGCCCGAATGAAAGCCTACTGAAAGTAGTCCATTTGATTTCAGCAGGTTTTAAATCAAGTTGAGCCTTAGGGGTAAAAAAATGCAGAGATAAAAATTTTATTAACTGTTCCAGCCCTGCTACAGAGAGTCAGCTAAATGAAAATTCAGTTTACCTCTGGCAAGTGATCCTCAGCGAGAAGGATGTGCCGTCACGGCATTTGGTGAGACACCAACACTGCCATCGTAACTGCCACCCAGAGCTCTCGAAGGAACACAGAGCAAAGGCAGATGAAATGAAACCAAAGAAAACACTGCACATTGGGGGCTGGGGTGTTCAGATGAAAAAAAAAAAAATGCAATAAACAATGAGTAGAGTGATCTATATGACATAGGTGTTTTGTTCAATTTTGTGTGAATTTGTGTGTTTTTAAATGAATCTTTTATTAGTAACATTACCAAACACAAGCCTAACTAAATCCATTAATAGTAACATTACATTCTTAACAGTATTTGAGTGATTTGCAAAAAAAAAAAAAAGTAAATGGATTTGAGTGTTTCACCTATAGACAAGCTGCAGTTGTTTCCTCCGTAGTGTTTCCAAAGCTTTCCAGCCCAGCCTCTCGAGAGCACCTTGATACTCCGAACACCCCGTTTTATCAGCTCCAGATCACTAGGGATGAGTCAGTCATGCAAGAAACACCCCTATGAGGGGTCTCTAGAATCAAAACAACTGAGCTGATAATTCAGATTATAATCTGTTTTACAAAAAGCTGCTGACAAACAGTTTAATTCAGATGAGCAGGAAATCACCAAGAGGTTTCTGATGCCCTTGGGCAGGCAGAGGGGAAAAACTCCTTGAAACTCTCCTCTTATGCTTGGTTTTCCCATGTCTACCTCAAAATGAACTTTAATATGTGCAGTACCAATCTGATGGTTCAGGAACCAAAGGCCACGCTGTCTGCTCGCCAGAAGGACAAAGATTTTGGAAGCATGACTTCCAGTTCCAATTGCAGAGCTATCATGATGTGATAAAGATGAAGAACACAACAAAAGGCTGTAAGTATGAGCAGAAAGAGAAAACACTTAGAAGTTTTAATAACTGTGCCCTAAACCAGCAGTCCTCAGAGCCACGGTTGTACTTCAGTACTGGAGTTCATAAGAGTACAGAACTCCCTCTTACCACACCTCCAGCAACCAAACTCCTGTTCCGGAGGAGCAACGTCACACGCTGTCACACGCTGTAACCAAGACTTTGGCAATCGCTTCAGTATCTGTACCATCCCTGCAGAGTGAGCTCGAAGCTTCCCAGGGTGAGAATGCTGGCAATCCTTTACACCTTACTATGAGACAATCAGTAAACCATCAGACCTGTGAAACTCCCAAGACTCTGGAATTTCATTTAAAATATTACAACTATTTTTATTACAAAATGGTAAGACGAAATATTTGATTATTCCCCTTTGGGAGGGTGTGCAGGGGAAATACATCTGCAGTGCCTTTGGGCCTTTCTTTCACTTTAAATAGATTGACTGTTCCTAAACTGTTAAGGAATTGAGAACCTGCTTCTAGGGAATACTATGAAATAGGATTTAAATTAAGTATTACAGTATCTGTGCTACATCCGACAAAAGACAGGCAAATCTCACTTGTATTTCAAACTTCTTTGGAATGAAGTTACCCAATACACACACACAGGACTAACACCACAGTAGGCAATATGCTCTGACCTTTCTGTTTGCGATTCACTGTCAGCTCGACAGTGTTCAAGGTCTTGGTAGAGCGACTGCAATTCTGCTTGAAGTCCTTTTTCCCGTTCTATACTTCCTTCATAAAATTTAATCTCCTTTTCCATCGCTTTGACTTTTTCTTCCATCGCCTTAAATTCATGAAGTATCAAATAGCTGATTCCACAGTATTTACACACGGTCTCATCCCGGGACATCTGGAAAAAAAGATAAAATTGTGAGATTGTTTGTAAGACACCAGTTGAACACAAAAAACCTGAAAGACACTAAATAATAATAATAATAATAAATGTGAATAATTTAAACCGTTTACTGCTTTGAAGCATTTATGATCAGATGATGTTATTGCTTTAACAAATAAGACAAAACTCTTCATCAGGAAAATAAAACCAAGCGACAGCAGTACCTTCGCTTAGTGGAAACCTCACAAGATATATCAACTGTGCAATTCACTATGTGCAACCTCCCGCTGGAACTGTAACCTGAGTTATGTTTGAGGCATGAATGTAAATAAAATGCTGTGTTCTACAAAGTTACCTCCTTAATGAATTTGTGATGCCCTGAGCCAGAAAACAATGTTATTTACTGTGTTTTTTTGACAACTTACATCCAATTCAGTAGGCAAGATGGAAAGCGAATAGAATGATGTAATGCAGCAATCTTTACAAAAATAATCCCAATGAGTAAGAGATTAATTATTATGATGGAGTGTCCATGGCGCTTGGCTGTTGGGGAAAATTAAGCCATTTGCTAGGTATGAAGTGTTCATCATTGATTAAAAAAGTATAGAGGACGTAATACACATCTAACTGAAAGACCATTTCTTCCATTGAGAGACGTACTCTGGTAAGGAATCAAATTAAGCTTTGCAGTAAGCGAGGCTTCATGAATACAGACAGATGTGCTCTGATGTGACAGGTACTTACTGCTCAGTACAGCCGTCATTCCTGGGTATTTTAATCATTTTCACTGGCTCAGTTTACAAGCCACGCAGAACTGAACCTGCCCAAGAAATGGATACGGAGGAAATAAACCCGGCAGAGCAAGCCAAGGTCTGACACGGTGGCAGGGGACAGGAGCATCCGCTACCCGCACAGATCAGGGACACGACAGGTTTTACCCCGTTCTCGGGTCACAGCAGAAACGCACTTGAGAGGAGACGGTGAGAATTAAGACTCGACCAGAGGCCACTCATGACACAGCTAAAGAGACAAACTCAGAGCAACAGCTACAGGAATCTTGGAGACGTGAAGGATGGAAAACAGCAGCAGCTGGAAGAGCAGTTGTGTGTTCGTGTGTTGAGAGCTTGAAACAGCTTCAGCCTTTCCTGCAATGGTCAGCTGCGACACCAGGATCAACACCATGACTTGGGAAAATCAGAAAGCTGGAAAACTGCAAACAGGTTAGGTCAAAGAATGGAAGAATCCCTTGTGTTACAGAAAAAGAGAAAAAAAGACATTTTGAGACGTTGGGATAAACTCCATGAAATCATACTGGGATGGAAGAAGAGAGCTTTCAAAAATTATAAACTGAAGACTCCTTATGCCATAATTCAATAATCTTTAGCACTTTAAATACAGCTTGATAAAAATGACCATTCTGGAAGCCCTGGAAGTACCAAGCCAAGCTTTATTTTCCGATTTCTTAGCTTTGCCCCAGTTTAAAATACCCCTAGTTACAGTTGCTCCGAATGAGCCGAAAATGCAAGTTTGTTTTTCCTGGCAGCTGCAAACTGTGCTTGGAAATATGAAACTGTTATTCGGGATAACCACCATCAAGCTCCAAAGCACTAAAATTCCTGCACTGACACAGGACAAAGGGAGCTGTTCTAGGAGCACAGGAGGGGGCTCTGATCCCCAAGAACATTGTGCTCTCCTGCAGCACCACCACTGCTGCCCTCCAAATAAACAGTTACAGACATTTCACTGGGTACTAGGACTAAAAACAAAATAGCACAATTTGGGACCCAAAGTGAAAATGTTTTATGCATTTTTGTTTTCAAATTCGTTAAAAAATAAAGTCATAGAACAATAAACATTATCCATCTGGACCTAGCGGGAAACGGGTCCCGTTCTTCTTCACATCCACTCCTCAGGTGAAGTGAAAACTGGAAAGGACTTCAGGTCAGGTTGGATCTTTAAAGTATTGGCTACATAGCCAAAAAAATCCCAGCAAAGCCTGAGGGCTTTATACTGCTACAGTAAGGAAGTTCTTTCAATCAGAACCTTGCTCCTGTACACGCACAACTACCCTGCAAGCACCGCACTACGCTGTAGAGAGACAGGAATTTATTTTAAAATATCTATCTGCTGTACGAGGAGCAGTTTCCCAGCACCAGCAATGAATCTGGCTCGGGCTGGGTGACGCTGAGCAGGCAAGCCAGCCCACACCAATGTCCATGCTGCAGCACTAACACCAACAAGCAAGCTCGCTCATTGAAACCCAGCCCACGCCTGCCCACCGTGCCTGGAAAACCAGCAGGACCAGGAAAAAGCGAATAGCTCCAAAGAGCCCGGCCTGACCCGGGGAAATAAGCGACGGACTCATCTGAATTCTCATCCTAAATCCACGATTCCTCTCTCATGCCCATAGCGGTCAAACCACAAGCAGAACTTTCTCTTTTTTTTCTTCCCCTCCTCTCTCTGACATTGTCAACATCCCATCCCGAGTTCTCCTTATCTCCTGGAATTTCTGGGCTGGTTGGACATTTTTCAGAAGCTTCTGAAGCTTCACGCAGAGGAGTGCTGCCAAGCTGCAGATGCTGATCTCATCCAGCGAAAATAACACAAACCTATCTTAGGACTACACCGATTTAAAGGACAGAGCCAGAAGCATTTCCTAGATTTGAAGACTACTTACAAACAACATTGGTTTGGGGTTTTGCACAATTTCCAAGAGAAATAACTTTTTTTTCATGTATGTGTGTTATTTCTCTGTTGTCACCCTTCAATAATTTGTGACCCAGAATGTTTGGTCATTTATAACCAATTCTGACACCGAGGGCAGAAATCTTTAAGTGTCTGAAAGTTTTAGACAACCAGGCAGGGAATAAAGACTTCCTAAACTCCCAGCTGCAGGAAACTGGAGGGCGAGCACAGAGATCAGCTAACCCACAGAGGGGAGAGCCTTAGAAATGGTCTGTCCAGGAGAAAAGATTCCCTTAGACCCCGTGTCTTAGACACCAACGTTGAGCAACCATTACACACAAGTCTGTAGGGAACAACTTTTCTTTAGTTCTTAAGCTTACAAAGCTACCTTTTTCTGGAATAACGCTATCGCTGGGTAAGCAGTGAGAAGTGTATTACAGACACCACGACTCACGTTTTCAGATTCCACATCTCACTGTTTACATTTGATCGAAGACTGTTGTCATCTTCTCAGATGCAAAGCAGGAAAAAAATCAGGGGAAATGCAGGGTTTGGAAGGAACAGAAAATGAAACTATCGGAGCTCTGACTAGAAAGGGAACTATGTCCTCAGCAGTGAGTAGAAAAAAAAAAAATCAATTAGGAATTAAAAAACCAACCGGAAGGTAATTTTTGTGTTGTGTTTTTGGTCAGCCTGACAGGGCAAACAGGACATGAAAAGCGGGATGCTGAGAAGCCCTGCTGTTTGTGTTGGCGTGCTGGTACAGCGTGCACCATAACAACATAAAAACAAACTCACGGGGGACAAAGTGCTTCAACTAGGAATACATTTGATCCCTAAGATTTTGAGCTATGATTCTGATACACTCACACCTGATGCTACAGAGAAAGGAAGAGAACTTTGTCCAGAACACACCATATCACGAGGCAGCGTTTCCAGCTGTGATATTCCAGCTGCTCTTCCACTACAGCATCCGTGGGAGTGGGTTCAACTCAGAGCTGTGCTCGGTTTTGGAAGAACTAATATTACTCCATGGTTACATAGATTTCTTTAGCTACTAAGGGCAAGCAGAGAACTGAGCCAAGATGAGGAGTCGCTCAAACTGCATCTTTCTGAGTCAGGACTGTGAGCATCTGTAGAGCATAAGGTACGAGGGAAGAAAAAAAAAAATATATATATTTTGGTGGTCTGGATGATTTTTAGCCTTTTGAACGACAAGACAAATTTATATTATTTCAACTTGACCAAACAACTGCAGGAAGCATCAGCTTGTGCACTGCTATCCTTCCCCTCTGCTATTTCAGATTCCACCTGCAAAAAGTACCATGATAAAGAGAGAAATTCTTGCTGAAAGAAAAATAGTCTCTCTCACAAATATTACAGCATCCAGCATATGGATCACCAGCCAGAAAGAGTCTGTTACAAGCAGCTAATAAACAGCCGTGACTCTTGAAAGCCAGAACTTAATTCTGCAATTAATGAGATTCTTTTTAAAAGCTTTGACCACATTTCTGTGCATCACTGAAATAACAGCAGAGCCGGGAGCACAGACTACTCCGTGTACATTCATTTTACAGTGCGGAGGAGGGAGAGCCCGAGGGAACTGCAGCACTCCCCGTCCTCCTCCGATCACCCCGTGCTCCTCGGGCTCGTAGTAACAGCTCCTGCTCCCTCCCCAGTTTTCTGTCCGTACTGAGACTGCTGTAGCAAGGACTGACCAAATAAAAAAAAAAAAAAAACACACCAAAAAACCCCTGTATTTGTCCAAACTACACTTGTAGCACAACAATCCAGAAAACTCAAGAAAATAATCACTAAAAAATCATTATGCTGCAGCTGGGTGCTCTTAAATTATTTCTTGATTGTTTTATCCTACCTCTACTTGATTCTACCTTATCTACTTTCTTTTTGTCTTACTCCACTTTCATTTCTCTCATGCTGTCCCTCTCCTGCTGATCCCTATTGCACAAAAAGAAATCATTACTCCAACCACACAATTGATTTTCTAGGCAGAAAGTGGAGTCTTCTGCTGTCTATGCAAAACTGAAGAGTTATTGGATTGAAATTGATTTTTTTTTTTTAATTCAAAGAAAGATTGGTAAGAGTCGCAGTAGAGACTTCACTTCTTCAAAAAAAAAAAAGTTTATTGTGAGTCAAATTTTCAGTCTGCTCAGAAAGTCACAGAGTGCTGAGCCATGGCGCATCCATCGTTATCTGCTCCCCTTCCGTAACACAGCCGTTGCAAAATAAAAATCACAGTACTGGCTTTGGGTACATATAAATAGTGCACAAATAGGCTTGTAGGAAAAGCAGAATGTCCTGCTCTCACAAGTTTCATTCAAAACATGCCCTGAAATAATCAGTTTGTCACGACAGGAAATAATACTCGGTTTTCAGGTAGCTTTAATTTTTTCCTGCCTGGGAGGAAAGGAGACTAATGAGTCATCCAAGACTGCACACACTCACCCGAGCCCTGCAAACACCGAACACACGGCCAGCGGGCCACGCAGACCTCGCTGGGGCTGGGGAGCCCTTCCAGCATGGGTACGGCACACTCCAGATCCCCGGCGCAATGCGGAGCAGAGCGTTCCTATAAACGGAACCGCAGGAAAACGTGATGCCCACGCAGACAAAAGATCATTTAGCCCAGTGTTAACCATTCCTTTGCCTGACAAATACTGACTTTTTGCATCGGTAGGTGCAGCCATTGGGAATCCACTCCTAGCTACAACCCAGCTGCTTGGGATGCAAGAGAGACTGCAATCCCTCCGAATCCTCGCGACATACCTGGATGCTGGTTGCAGAAAGGGTAGAAAAGCCTGAATATAGCAAATACAGCCCCAGCTTTATGAGAAAAGCTTGAATATAGTGAATACAGCCCCAGCTTTATGAGTATAGCGAGAGATAAAAACACTTTGCTGTCCTAGGTGACCACCGGTGACTGCAGAGTTCCCATGTTAAGAACAGAAGGTCGTTACGCAAGCTCCGGAGATCTGCTTTCACACATCCTCTGACACAAGGATACACAGCGGAAGCAGGCTGCCTTTACTAGCTGGGAGCTGGTTTTCCCAAATCAACTCTAGGTCCACAGGTAACCAGTTCACTGTTGAGAGCTTCCCGCTTCTTTAGGGGGGGGCTTACACCAAAAAAAAAAAAAAAAAAAAAAAAAAAAGAAAAATTTTTTTAAAATTTTCAAAAAAATTACCCATTTTCTAACATTTCCAAAACATTCACCTAGCTGGAGCTTGACATCCCAGTGGAATCCAAATGTCAAAAATTCCGTAGCTGAGTGTTGAAAATCTCGGTGGCCATAGCAGCAACTCATGAACATCATCTTAAGAAACACTCACAAGAGGACAGGACTCTGAAAAGGCCTCCTGCCGCTCTGCATGTGAATGCCACCACGCTTATCCGGGGGCACAAATGGAAGTGCTGCTGCTTCTAAATCCATATTGGTATCAATATTGTCAGTACTAAATACGTAGCTACGTTATTCCCTTCTACAAAGCCAGTCTTGGTGGACAGGACAGATTCTTGAGCTAACTGACGCATCGGGAACTATGCAAGAGCCTATTAAAAAATAACCCCAGGTTCAAAGGCAGCAAGAAAAATTAAAGATAACTTAATGTGCTCATAAAGATACCATAATGTGCTCAATCTATACCACACATGGCAAATCGAGCGAGTAACCATTTGCTACTAGTAACGTATGTGATGTTTTGTGGGTAGTCGTATACCACGGGACGTTCTGTCCTGATGTGTAACTCAGCTTCAAAGCTCCTGCTCTGCTTGCTTTCTTACACTCCTAGGGCGAGAGAACTACTAATCTGTAAGGGTATCTTGTGCTCAATTAATTGTATTATTTATGTTAAGCAAAGGTTATTTGTTTGCCAAATAAAATCTAAAATTAAATATAACTTTTTGTTTGCTACTTTAAGGACTCAGGGTCATTTTACTGCGGTTCTGTTTCCTATTTCAGTAAGATCTTCAGGGCAAAACTGCATCTTCCCATCTACTTACACTGAACGGACAACAACAATGCTGAAACAAACACAAAACTTTAATAAATTCACAAGCATACAAAATATTTGGCTACCACTAGCAACAGACAACTAACAAGGTGAAATATAATAGTCTTCTTGCCTCTTGACTGCGTACTGCCTGAAAGGGCAGCAGAAGGAATAAGAGAAGGAAAAGCAGGGCTGTATAAAATTCCTACATGACTTTGTAAGGCAAAATTGATCAGAACCTGAAGAATCTTACAAAATATCAAATGCAAATGCTCCATTTGTATCAGCTTCTGCCCTGACACCCCTGGCTTTACTCTAACTGCTCTTCCTCTCCGGGAGGCTTTGGCTGTAGCACAGGCTGTGGAATGGGCTGTGCCAGGCTGAGGCAAGATGCTCCCTTCCTTTTCCATACCATCCTCTAGAAGAGTGCAGTTTTGGAGGCAGCGATGTCACCGCTCCAAGTACCAGTAAGCAGGTTGTGAAGCTCCATCCACGATGAGCAGGGAGGAGAGGAGCGAGGAGAGCTCTGGTCTGCACCCCTGCTTGGAGACAGCTGTTGCCAGCCCCTAGCAGTGACTGCTCTTCCTTCTGCAGCTGAAATCACAGGGCTCGACATACTCCCTGCAGACCCACGCGTTCCTCTGGCCCGCAGGCTGCACGTTGGGAGCATGTGCTCGGTTTGGCAGAGCAACCTACAGCTGGCACAAGTTCTGCTTATGTTAGGAGCAATCTAAAGAGAGATTCCAGAAGAGATGCTATAAAATCCAAGCAGCAGAGAAGGGGAAGAGAATAAGAACATGTGTACATGACGTGTAGAAAATACAAGGGCAGGAAATGGTGAGAATGACTTGTAATCAAGCTCTGTGCCTTGTAACTATAGTGCAACGACAGTGCCAGCAGAGAGGAGCAGCAGCAAAGGATATGTAAAACCCCAGCCCTTAACTGATCCCAAACTCTTGGGCTGTCGTTGCCTTAGAGCTCACATATCGAGGTGACAGGACGGGAGCATCACCCTGTTCATGTTCATATCTACAAGCACAGCTGTGCCTCCTGCATATGGATCTTTTTGTTAAAGGTGTACTGCAGAGCTGAGATCAAGAGATGGCCTGTCCGGGGCTCCACTCCCAAGCAAAAGCTTGCCTTACGTGTCCCCCGCAGCCCCACGGGAGGAATTCCACAACCCCCCCAGGTGAGCAGCTCCCGTGCTCAGCCACCCCTGCATCTAGAGCTCCAGAACATTCATCCAAACCCGTCCAGAAAGGTAAGGATAAGGTTAATTTGCAGCTGGAGATGAAGGACAACCACCATCTCCCTATCCCTGTGATTGCTGGGACTGTGCCCTCACATTTTCTGGAGTCAGTAAAACCAGCTCTATTTACCCTTTCTCAGAACAACAGGATTTTTCAGCTCCTTACTGGTTTTCCATTTCTCTACATTTCTATCCATCATGTTATTTTTACTAAAGCCCACAGCCCAGAACTGACACCTCAACAGCCCTGAGCTGGGGAATAACGAAGGCCCAAGTTTCACATGCAATTCCTATACTAAGAGATTTAATACTTGCTTTCTTCGTAACTTCACTTTGTTGATATTATTCTGCTTATAACCTGATTATAGGCCTCAGTGGCAAGTGACAAGGAAATTTCATCAGTTACTGTGTATTTTGTACTGATGCATTGGACTTACTCTTTTTTAATATGCTTTATTTTTACTAAGAATGTGAAGTTTAACGCTGTTCCTAGACTGCTCACAACCCCTCCCAGACTAGCATCAGTGTATTCCTTATTGTAATCCAAGATCCTAGCGCAAGGAAAAACAGCAAACACTGCCACTCCTACTGAGAAAAATACTGTCACCCGCTTTCTGTGCCCAGCACGCAGACCAGGAACCAGATCAGAACTGATCCAAATGAAAGACAGGCAGCTGAAGTGCCACCAAACTACAGCCTTAAGTCATTAAAATATATATATCGGGCATTATTAGATTCAGAACAATCCCCTGATGTACTACATCTAACAATTTGGCACAGCTGTTTTTCAGAGAAACTCGCACTGATTTTTGCTAGCCACCTGATCCTGCTGATGCTTGCAAACGGATTTCTAAATAAACAAACATATCTGGTATCTTTCCTGCTACCAAAACAGCTGCTAATGAGTCTGTAAATGTCTCAGCTTCTTCTCCTCCCCTTCATTAAGGACAAGCATTCCTTTTCCCTTCCTTTGGCTATTTTACCCACCCTTGAATTCTCAGAAATCACCAGTGGTGGCTCAAAAATTGTCTCAACAGTTTCCTGCACTATGCCAGGGAGAATTTCTCCAGGCTGTACTAGCCCGAGTACATAAAACTTGTAAATTACTTGTTGATTATTATACACATACAAAAAAAAAATTGAGGACAGCAGGATGTTTTATTGCCAAAATAAAAACTCCATAGTGTTACACAAAGCAACTCGTGTTCCACTTGCGCGCATCACTGCATATGAAGAGCCTCCCCAAAAATTAACTCCTATAAACAGCAGCATTGTTACTTTGGTAATAATTTGTCTCCCAAACAAAAGAACAGCTTCACACACAACGAGAAGATACAAGAAAAGATGAAGGGGAACGTTCTGTTCCTGTGGGTATTGACACTCCTTTGGAACAATGACATGTTATGCTCCACTGTCATTCCAAACTCAGGGCAACAAAACATGCCGTACGGGGTGAAATCTGGAACTCCCCTCGCAGTGAGAACACCATTACAGAACGAGTGTGTTCCTCCACCGCGTTCCTATAGCACAAGCATGTAATTACACTGCAGGTGTAATGATGAAACCTAGAACACACCACCTAAAACCAGGACCAAAACGTACCAGAAAATGTACCAGTGCTCAAAGGCTAGTGAAATATCCCTAAATTACTGCAGCACCGGGTCTCCCTGCGCTTTGGGGGTTTGCACTTCCACCGTTTCGTACCTTTCGAATCTCCTCGGGCAGGGGGTGGACGGGGCCGTGCCGCTCCATGGCCTCCTGAAACTCCGCGGCGGGCTCGGGGAAGCTGTCAGAGGTCAC